GGAACGCATTAACCGGTTTTTAATGTTGAGCCCACTCTATAATGTTTCAATGTTTTTTCCCCCCCGCTTGACGACGATTTAATTCTACAGCGATTTTGCTGGAATGGATTATCGTTGTCAAGCGGGCACCACTGTACGCAGGACAGATAGATAAAATGGTAACTTGTAGAAGCTTTATGCCATCATTAATGCGTCATAATGTCTTTATGAATTGACACTTCAAATTGTTAATTAATTAATTAATTAAAATATTTTATCCCACCTTTCTCCTTAGAAAGGACCCAAGACAGCTTACATCATTAAAAGACAATAAAAAGGATCACACAAATAAATAGTAAAAGCTACAACAAACACATCCAAAGCAGTAAAGTGCAACCATCCATTAAAAACCCCACTCAGGCAACCAGTCAGTGAGAGAAAGCTTGCCTGAAGAGAAGGTCTTTACTTGTGGAAAGACAGCAAAGATGGGATCAGCCTGGCCTCCAGTGGGAGGGAGTTCCAAAGTCTAGTAGCAACAACAGAGAAGGCCACCTCCCATGTCCCCACCAGATGCACATGTGTAGGTGGTAGGACTGAAAGATGATCCTGGTGATCTTAACACTCAAGCAGGCTCATAAAAGGAGATGTGGTTCTTGAGATAGCGTGGGCCCAAACTGTTTAGGGCTTTATAGATTAGAACCAGCACATGACATTGTGACTGAAAATGGATTGGCAGCCAGTGGACCTGCTGTAATAGGTGTAGGGTGTTTGTGTGTTGGGGCATGTGATCTACAGTCTCCTCCTTCAGGCAATGACCTAATAGATCCTTGACCACTTGAAAGCCCTCAGCCGGATGACTAATTAGGAGCAACTGATCAAATGGTTGCAAGGTTTTTCCCCACTATGTTGGGGGTTATATTGGAGCGTTGGTTTTAGTAACTGTGACATTTATAAAACAGTGTCCATTGATTTCTGTTAAATTTACTCACACTTAAATACTGTACATGAGTGCCCTTATTGTAACTGTGACAGTTAAAAAAAATATTAGCTATTCATACTTCATCATTAAGAAAGTGATTGAAATCCTGTTGCTTAACATAGTTTTACTAGAGTAGGCCCATTAAAACAATGGGGATTTGGTAAGTCCACTTCTCCTAGGTTCCACTGATTCAAATGGGCCTACTCTAGTTGCAATTTCTTATAGTACTAAAGTAAGTTAGAACTAGAGTAGGTCCATGCAGTTTAACAGAGGAATTGGCACATGAAAGCCCCACTGACCAGTCTATTGTGACTAACTATGCTAAATAATATTTCAGTTGTTGAGCCCACTCTATAATAGGTTTTAAATCCTTACTTTAGCCCTCTGCAGTGTCTTGTCAAGTGATAAGGAGACATTTACTACATACTGGTGTGTAAAATGTGTACAACCACATTCAATAAACAGTTCTATCTGGTTAATTTATAGAGTTGTCCTGTATTAACTTCCTTGCTCATTTGCTGGCTATTTGTTTCCACTCTGTTGTGCCCATGTTTTAAATAATCAATGAGAATAATTCTCACTGCAGAAGAGGTGTAAATTCAAGGATTGCTTGAATTGTTACATATCTCCTGAGAAATCTATATGTGGGACAGAAAACAACAGAACTGGGTATGGAACAACTGATTGTTTAAAATTGGGAAAGGAGTACGACAACGATGTATATGGTCTCCCTGCTGATTTAACTTATATGCAGAATACATTGTGCAAAAGGCTGGACTGGATGAATCTCAAACCGGAATTAAGATTGCTGGAAGAAATATCAACAACCTCAGATATGCAGATGATACCACTCTGATGGCAGAAAGTGAGGAGGAATTAAAGAACCTCTTAATGAGGGTGAAAGAGGAAAGTGCAAAAAACGGCCTGAAGCTCAACATCAAAAAACAAAAAACAAAAAACCTAAGATTATGGCCATGAAATTAAAAGACGCCTGCTTCTTGGGAGGAAAGCGATGACAAACCTAGACATCATCTTAAAAAGCAGAGACATCACCTTTCTGACAAAGGTCCGCATAGTCAAAGCTATGGTTTTTCCAGTACTGTAGTGATGCACAGAAGCAAGAGCTGGACCATAAAGAAGGCTGACCGCCGAAGAATTGATGCTTTTGAATTGTGGTGCTGGAGGAGAATCTTGAGAGTCTCATTGGACTGCAAAGAGAACAAACCTATCAATTCTGAAGGAAATCAACCCTGCATGCTCACTGGAAGGACACATCCTGAAACTGAGACTCCAATACTTTGGCCATCTTACGAGAGGAGAAGACTCCCTGGAAAAGCCCCTGATGTTGGGAAAGTGCGAGGGCAAGAGGAGGAAGGGACGACAGAGGATGAGATGGTTGGACAGTGGCATCAAAGCTACCAACGTGACTTTGACCTGACTCCGGGAGGCAGTGGAAGACAGGAGGGCCTGGCATGCTTTGGTCCATGGGGTCATGAAGAATTGGACACAACTTAATGACTTAACAACATCAAGAGGGCTTATTTTCAGAGGATGTTTTATCTTTCATGTGCAACAATCTACGTACATTTATTCAAATACACTCATGTCATCTTTTGGTTACTGCACAATGGTGGAGAGCGGAGTTTTTCACTTCGCTGGGGCTTATTTTGGGGGTAGGGATAATACGAGCATCCTGAAAAATCATAATAGGGCTTATGTTCAAGTTAGGTCTTATTTTTGGGGAAACATTGTAGATGCGATGAATTAAAATTTTGTGCAGATGTGTGGAACACATAGTGTTGCATTAAGTTTCCTATTTTTGCTCTAAAATCTTTCTAGTTTCTGGACCCAGTTCATTGTGGGTTTTTTCCATTTATAAATACATTTTTATATATTTTTAAAAAATAAATGATACTAAATGCAACACTTTTTTACTGCATTCCATAGTGGTTTGCAGTGATTTAAAAACACAATGGGCAGAATCCTGTTGGTGATTTACATTTGTATAAGATAAATCACACAAGTTTTGTTAGTAAATTGCTACGTTATTGAGGTGCCCTTTGCCTTCCTGGGCACATGCTCAATTACACAATCAGGTGTACATCCAGGGATGAGAACATACAGTATCATAAAACCAAAATGCAAAATAGAGACAGTGGCAGTTGTAATAAAAATGTTTCACAAACACTAAGATTTAGGTTTGGCTGGATTAAAAAGGTTTCTGTCAGACACCTAAAGAACAAACTGAATGTAACTCCCGGTGCACTTCCTTAGGAGGCATATTCCATATCAGGGCACTACCGCGGACATTGTGTATCAGGTTTGTGGGCACAGAGGGGCACCTGGCAAAAGGCAAAATCTGAAGAGAAAGCAACACTGCATGAGCCCATCTGGTTGTTCAGATAGTTTCTTAGAACTTGGTGCTGGGTTTTCACTTTCTAGGAGTTGAGGTTGAATGATGGTTGCTTCAATTCTTGGACTGTTCTCTTTTTTTAACCTAAAACCTTTATACTACGTATGACACTCATGAGCTGAAAAAAATGAGTTGATTCAGAAGAATAGTCTCTAGGCTACCATTTTGTTCACTGTTCAATGTTTCTCAAGTGTTTTATGATTTAATAATTTCCATCTGTCCGGAGTATGCCTGGTGGAATAAGGCATTATATATGAATAATGTCTATGTGACTTTTTACATCTTTAACAATGCATGAAAATCGGTATGAACATTAGTGCTCTGAAAATACTGAAGCATAGAAATGTTGATTTCAGGTTTGCGCATAGCAAAATTGCAGGCAAAAACACTGCTAATGAGACTTAAGGAATAAATTATTATCTGCTTCTAGTTAAACAATGTTTGCTATTTGTCCCTTTTATTTTGGTTTGTATATTGGATGACTCTTGCAGAGTGCGGGCAGCATACAAGTCGAATAAATAAATAAATATTTATGCAGATTATATTGACTCCACTCGAGAACCCCAATATTTTCAGGGAGGGTGGAGAATCATGGTGCAAGATCATTTTAAGTTGCTATGCCTTATTGGTACTCAAAAGCTTAGTATCTTCTGCTGCTGGAGATAGGATTGAAGTGTTTCCTTGCTTTCTTGTTTCCCCACGGGACCTCGATCTGGGCCCCCTCGCCAGCCGCCCCGCCCCCAAGCAGCCCTGGGTGCTGTGGGATAAATGATAAATACTTTGGGTAATCCGTGGCATTCTGGTGACGCTCCCAGTTTTGTGATCTGAGTAAATTCTGTTGATATAAAAAGAACGGAGGCAAATACCAGTCAGTAATCTTTTTCTGTAAAGAGAGGAATGAGACTGTTACTTTTCAAACAGTCGGCAACCTCCTTGTTTAAACAGTTAATCGTTAATTTTTAAAATGCGGCAGAGCTCCCAATCGCCCTTCCCCCCCCCCGCGCTGGATACTCCATAATAAAACTGCCCCAGGGGGAATAAAAGGCGATCTGGGAGCTCTACCGCATGTCAAACATGCAGGAGCCCCGCCAGAAAGAAAAAGGTGGCCATTCTAACGGAAGGCAAGCGGAGGTGGCGCTTCCTATTGCAACCCCGGCACCCGAATGCAGCATCGCGCGCGCTTCTGAGGCGGCTGCAAACGAACCAACCGGCCGCGCGCGAGGACAGCCGCTCGCGCGCCTTCGTTCCCTTTTCGTCACGGAATCTCTCGGCGAGCCCTTTCCTCGAGAGAGAGAGAGAGAGAGGGCTGGCGAGGGCGGGGGGGGGAAGTCAGACGGGAGAAGAAAGAAAACTACCCTGGAGGGGTGGGATGAGGACTTTCCTCGTCCCCCTTCACACGCCACTTCCTGCTGTCGTGTTTACTTCCCGGTTCAACTCTCCCGTCACGGGCAAATCAAATTCCAGGCAGTTTCCTAGGGAAAACCGTGGGAGTGGGTGTGCGTTACGGAGCCGGCAGCCCGCAGGAGGGCGAGTCCTGGGTGGGTAGGTCCCCTGGCGTCCCTTTTTCCCACCATCTCAGCCCCACACTCGCCACCCAGAAACTGACGTGAACCGCTCCTTGTCTTGCAGGTTTACCCGGAGCCCCGCACCGAGAGCGAGTGCCTGAGCAATATTCGCGAGTTCCTTCGGGCTTGCGGCGCCACCCTTCGCCTGGAGGTGAGGAGAGGGGGTGGGTTGGGGTGGGGAAGTGCATGTGTGCACACGCGTGTCTCGTGGGGGCGGGGTGGGGGCTGGGATGATGGTCTCGGGCGAGGGTAACATCCGTACTGAAGAATGAATTAAAAGATCCGGAATACATAACAAAACACCACAAGTATGATAGCGCCTTGGAAAACTAGCAGGTATATTTCCATGTAAGCTTTTGTGGGGTATAATTCTCTTCCACAAATACATGAATCCAAAAGCACACTGGAATAAATCTGTTAGTCTCTAAGGTGTCACGTTGCCTTTGGGTTTTTTGTTTTGTTGTATATGCTGGAATAGACCTAACAAGGTTGCATCCTTGGAAGAAGGAAGTAGAATGTGACTCTTGATTGGGCAGAGGATTTGGTAGCTCCAAACTAACTTTTTTTAAAAAAACTATATATACACATACTTACTGTGTATTTTTTCATCCATAGGTAATTCTTCCCCTAGACTGAAGTTCAATGCCATATACTGTATATAAAGTTCAATACCACTTGCTTGTTTTAGCAGGCAAACATCTATGTAGTCATGTAGTTTACCTACATAATTTTAGATGAGATTGACCCCACGTTGCCTTCACACAAGTTATACTTCTCAAACACAGTGGCTCATGTCTGCTTGATAAGCAAACTAGAATTCTAAAAATTCCTGGCTTACTGTGCAGTGTGTCCTGATATGCACAAGCCTGTTGTGCCAACTTACAGACACAGCTAAAAACAAATGAGAGGCAACTTAACATGTCTTCTAAATGAGTGCCCGTTTTGTTGTGCTCAGTACAAACCACAATAACAAAAAAACAGGATTTGTTCTTGGTCAAGGAGTCCCAATTTGGACAATATGATTGCTTTTCTTTTTTACTTAGCTAAGAAGGACTAAATGAGGCATATGTTCCTTGTGAAACCATGTGTGTGTTTATTGTGAAGTAAGACCAATTGATCCATCGGGTTGCAAGCATTGGGGTGCGAGGACGTGTTCGTAGCATTGTAGTCTTACAGAGCCATCTTGTAAGGGCCCACAAGAAGAATCCATGACAGAGCTGCTTTGTACAACTTGCATGCTTGATGTGTCCACTTCCCTTAATGGGAGGAGGTGCTGGTGTCCTTGTGCCTTTTTCTTTATTTTTTCAGTTTTTTCCCCATGCATAGAAATGGGAGGAAAATTTAACTGTACTAGTTGCAGTGCTTGTGTCATGCTTGGCTGTATGGAGTGAGGGCATATACGAGGGCATGCTTTGCATCCTGTAAATCCACGAGAGACCACAAAATGCCCTCATTTTGAGCTATACCTGTAGTGATACACAGATGCTTTTTCTCTGTAAGCTTATTGGGGGCCTCCAGGATAAAAGTGTCATCCTGGCTATAGAGCAGCACTTCTGTTACATCCTATACATCTTGGCCATCTGTTGGCTAGCTTTCAGATGACTGTTTAATGACAGCAGCCAAAATCCTATTTATGCTTATTGGTATTTCCATACTTGGGTGTAAATCTCAGCAGTGAATTGCTGCAATTTAGGAAGTCAGCCGCTCAGAGTGGTATAGATTTATCAGATGGGCGGGATATAAATCAAATATATAAATAAATAAATAAACCATTTGCTGTTTTGCGCCCAGTTGTACAACTAAGCATATACTATCAAATGCCTACACTGATGTATTGATTGGCAGCAGTTTCTTGCTGAGATTTATGCTGGTTGCATTGTACCAGTAAAACTTCAGCAGGAGTCTGGAATTTTTATTTCTATTTTCCCATCTTATATTGACACATGAGGTTAATCCTAAAATTACACCATCTCAGGTATTTTTATTAAATTACTTGGTGTCTTTTCTCTCTTATTTAGACTTCATTTTGGTTGCTTCTTGTTTTATACTACACAGTTCCTCTGGCCCTCTACTGATGTGTAGCAATCAGTACGCGTATGTTAATGATGAAGACTAGAATGGGGCAAATACCTCCTGTGTTTTCTGTGTTTATGATTCTCTTGTGAGAACCAAGTATGGTGTTTTTGTGCCTGTTGGCAATGGCACTACATTGCTGACTCATAGTTAATAGTTCATGATGGACTCCCTCCTCCTTCCCCCTTGCACAGCTACTCGAAATAGAATTTTGTATTCAGCTTCTTAATTTTCCCCGAGCTTCTGAACCGAACTTTAATGGAACTTGTAACTCTTGATGGCTTTAATGTCTAACAGATTTCTTTGTGTATTTTTAAAAAGAGTGAAAACTAATGATCTAGTTATTGCTAAACTGAACAGTTGCCCTTCAGATATTGATGAACTGCTATTCCCGTCATGCCTTAATGCTGGCCAGGATGGTATAGATTAATGGAAACAAGAGATGGGGGTATCTGAATACGAATAGACCCGCACAGGTGGCAATAACAAAGGTCCAGTCCCATGGGGCCACTCACAATTCCGCTGCTGGCATGAGCTCCCAGATCCTTCCTAGCACTCTGGAGCTTACGATCTGTGAGCCACTCTTCCAGCTGGCAGAGAGGCTTGTCATCCCGCCTCCTCCCAGGAGTGGCAAGCTGATCACGAGCTCTGGAATGATAGGAAGGATCCCAGAACTCACAGCAATAGCAGCATTGTAAATGGACCATCTGGCCCATGGGGCTGGACTCTCATTATCGGCACCTGTGCAGGGGTATATGAATACGAATACCCCCATCTCTAATGGGAACTGTTCTGCATTGATATCTGGAGGGCTTCAGGTTAACCAACCCTGTCATATTTCTGTCTGTGAACCCCTCAATATACAAAAGCCTCTGATCTTACTTATTGAATAAGCTTATGAATGACAGTAGAAATCTGAAAGAGTTGAACCACTGATATTGGTTGCTCAAAACTGTATCCCCGCACATATTTTACCTGGGGACATAGAGAATGTGGGGTTATAAAATTATTTAATTCTGTTTATGGTGGTGGTGGTGGTGAAATCTACGGTATACTGTCTAGGAAACAATTATGACTGTCTATCTTGTTAAAGGGCTTATTATGGGCCATAAATAATATGTAGGGTACTGAGAGTGCTGCTGTTTGAAAAAATCTCTTGGCTTGTTTGTCTTTTTCTCTTCATTTGTCTTTTTGTGAAGATAAGGCACTTAAAAATGGTTTGTTAGTTTTTTTTAATGGATGGATTTTTATACAGTACCTGGAACAGGAGAACACTGCATTTTGGGTGAGTGTGTGTGACAAATCTGAAAGGTTTTGATCCTAGGTGTGATTTAGTTTTAAAGTTGTGAATGAAATCTTAGTTAATTCATTAGATAGTTGGAGAGAATGTGGGATTAAAAAAGGATCTAGGACCCTATATTATATAAAACGTTTGAATTGGAATTTTATGTCAGTTTCCATTTTATGTAAGGTTGCATAGAAAAAGTGATCGGGGCCTTACTACATAATATGATGTTAAAACCGTCATGTCTAAATTGCAATTTATCAGTTTTTATCTTAGATCACTATCCTTTTGGTTGTTTAGTCATTAAGTCGTGTCCAGCTCTCATGAGCCCATAGACCAGAGCATGCCAGGCACTCCTGTCTTCCACTGCCTCCCGGAGTTGGGTCAAATTCATGTTTGTAGCTTCGGTGACACTGTCCAATGATCTTGTCCCCTGTTGCCCCTTCTCCTCTTGCCTTCACACTTCCCCAATATCAGGGTCTTTTCCAGGGAGTCTTCTCTTCTCATGAGATGGCCAAAGTATTGGAGCCTGAGCTTCAGGATGTGTCCTTCCAGTGAGCACTCAGGGTTGATTTCCTTCAGAATTGATAGGTTTGTTCTCCTTGCAGTCCAGGAGACTCTCAAGAGTCTCCTCCAGCACCACAATTCAAAAGCACTAATTCTTTGGCGGTCAGCCTTCTTTATGGTCCAGCTCTCACTTCCATCCATTGCTGCTGGAAAAACCATAGCTTTGACTACGCGGACCTTTGTCAGCAAGGTGATGTCTCTGCTTTTTAAGATGCTGTCTAGGTTTGTGATCGCTTTCCTCCCAAGAAGCAGGTGTCTTTCAATTTCGTGGCTGCTGTCACCATCTGCAGTGATCACGGAGCCCAAGAAAGTAAACTCTTTCACTGGCTGCAAATCTTCCCCTTCAATTTCCCAGGAGGTGATGGGACCAGTGGCCATGATCTTAGTTTTTTTTTTATGTTGAGTTTCCGGCCGTTTTTTGCACTCCCCTCTTTCACCCTCATTACAAGGTTCTTTAATTCCTCCTCACTTTCTGCCATCAGAGTGGTATCATCTGCATATCGGAGGTTGTTGATATTTCTTCCTGCAA